CGGCGGCAGTGTCGACGGCAGGGCGGCGAAGGCTGCGGCGGCACATTGCGCGGCGGAGGCGGCGGCACAACGGCGGCGGTGGCCCGGAAGTGGCAGCAACGAAGCGGCGGTGGGCGAATCGTCGTGCATAGCCTGGCCGCAGTAGTCAGGCACGCACGGCGACGCGTCTTTAATTGCCTGGCCGCAGTACATGTCGTTCATTGTCTGGCCGCAGTAATCAGGCACGCACGGCGACACGTCGTTCATTGCCTGACGGGGCGCGCGGAAGGGATGATGGCGGCGCGGTCCTCTCGGCCGCGGGTGGGGCATTGCGAGCGGAGCTCCGGTGGCGAGGAGGAGGCGGACTGTGCCAGAGGGAGAGAAGGGGCGCGGGGAGGACTACTGGCCTGCACGAGCGCCGTGACCGATCAGGCGAGCCTCTGCTGGTCGAGATGCCCGGCAAAGATGCCAGTCAGGCCGACGATATGGTCATCGAGTTGAAGACGGCGGCGCGGCGACGATGTCGCCGACGCCCTCGTCCGACTCGGTCACGAGCGGGGCGAATCACCGTGAAGAACTCGGCCGCCGACGACCCGACCGCCATGAAGGGTGCGCCGGCGACGTCCTCGGGCACCTCTTCGCATCGATCGCCTCGGCGTGGAAGTCGTCGCAGACGATGGCGATGCCGACGAAGAAGTCGAACCTGCGCGGGGGACGGGGCGGGGGCGGGGTGAAGGTGGGGTGAGCGGGGGTTGGACGGCGGATGAGGGCTTGGCGGTGGCGGCGGCGGGGCTGGCGGGCTTGGCGGCGGCGGGCTTGGGGCGGCGGGCTTGGCGGCGGGGGGCTTGGGGCGGCGGGCTTGGCGGCGGGGGCGATGGCGGTGGTGGGGACGGCGGAGGGCGTGAGGGAGCGGGCGGCGACGGGGGAAGCGGGCTCGGTGGGGGGGGGGCGGGCGGGGGGGGGGGTGGGGGGGGGGAAGAGGGGTCGGGGGGGGGGGGGGGGGATAGGGCCTGCAGACGAATGGCGTCGCGCGGATTGCGAAGTCGGGCCGGCGTCGCAAAACATGGGACCTCGAAGGCCCTCGTGCCGCGGCTTGGGCGCGTCCAAGCTTGGACGCTCGGGAGGCCGCGCGACTCGATGCCGTGGTACGCGCCCCGCCAGGGAAGTGGGCTGTGTTTGCGTTTCTTTGTGGGGACGGGTTGGAAGGGTGGAGGCATCTAGATGGAGATGAAGAGCGAGGCGCACCTCAGACTCGGCACCTGATCGGACGGAGCAGTGTCCGATGAGCGGAGATATTGAGGATGCGGCGGCGGCCGCATGGGCAATTCCAGCGCGGAGCGGGCGGCGCAGTCCCGGAGCCCTGGCGCGGGCGTGGCGCGGCAGGGCGCGGCGCAGGCGCGGTGGCGCGCAATCATGCTGGCCGGGGATCGCGCCGCGACAGAGTACAGGGGCAGGGCGGAGGCGCGGCTCGGGCGGCGGCGCGAGCCCCTGCACGCGTCGCGCGGGCGGGGAGGGAGAGGGAGGGGAGGGAGAGGGAGTGGCGGGGCACGGGCTCAGCGGCGCGGGGCCCCGGCCCTCGCGCTGGGCGGCGGGCGCGGCAGGGCGCTGCACGCCTCAAACCGTGGATGCACACTGTCGGTGGACGGCGGCTGGACGGCGTCCCGTGATCGCTGTCGAAAGAAAAAATTCAGCAGACTAACTGCATGGACTTTGGGGGTGGGTGCCCCAAGCCCCAAGCCCCAAGCCCTCAGTCCTACTCCTCTACCTACAGCTCAGGCCAGAAGCCACTCGAGAGAACGATATAAGGAACGCCACACCGGAACGGAGAGGAGAAAGAACTCAGACAAATTCATTGGAGACGCTGTGCCTGGCGGAAGAGGGAAGGACAGAGGAAGACACTCACCCAGCCACAGGAGACTGGAACAGCAACGGGCGGCCACAGCTCTCGCACCCCTCTTGAAAGCTCTCACACGCCTTCTGGGCACCTCGCCCGCCAGGCTGATAGAGCACAAGAGCACGTGCATACACCTCTCGGAAAGCAGCAGCAGCTGTATTCACTCGCACCGAGAGGCCCTTCACGGCATTCCATCGTCGCTGTGCTCGCTGTCTTCGAAATAGAGCAGCATCGTGTAGAGCGACATACTTGCACTGCATCCTTGGTAACGTACTCCACTGGTTCTCCACGAGTTGACTGTACGATGCCCGGGCGGTACGGTCCGTCACGTAGCAATACATGGCACGTGGCTGCGTGTCTGTCGCCCACACCAGCAATCGGATGTCGCGCATACAGTTCTGGGCACGAGCGACGAGGCGGCTGGCCGGCTGCACCAGCAAAGAGAGCAATACCGCCCAGACGATCACGACTGGCCGGCCTGCGTAATTACAGGCTGAGCGACACACAGCCGCCATTGTCGGCATCGTTGTGCTTGTGGGCGATTCTCACTGCAACACTTTTGTTACCATGAACTATGAGAACGGACTGCGTGTAGATCTAAACCGGTCGGTGCGCGTCGAACAGATCGCGACTCTCACAGTCCGATTTGAGCTCACTCAGATCGTATATCTTCCTGCAATTTCTACTTCCCGGCCCCGTACGACGCGATGAAGAAGAGAGGCACAAAGACTGAGAGCGCAGACACGTAGTATATCGGGTTCTTCCAGGTCGTCGGGTTGAGCGTGATCTTCACCATCTTGTTGCCGAGCTTGCCGGCCGCCTCGGCGCTGCCGAAATTCTTGTCGAAGGCCTTCTCCAGCTTTGTCGGCTCCTCCACCCGGGGCTCGCGCGATATCACCGCTCGGCTTACGCCGATCCGCACCTCATCGGGCGCGGCTCCGAGCGCCGCCATCACGCCGTCGAACCCCATCGCAGCGACGCTCTCCCCCATCACACTGCGGATGATGTCGCCCGGCTTGAGCATCGCCGCCGCGGACCCGTCCTCCTGGAGCGCCTTCACCTTCACCGCCGGCGCCTGGCCAGTGGCAACGACCTCCACAAGCATGGCGCCGAGCCGCTTACGCAGCGTCACGTCCAGCGTGTCCCACCGGCGAAAGTAGTCGAACGCATCGTCCGACTTGACGAGGACCTGCATCGCAACGCCGATCCTCGTTCGGCGGGCAGTGGCGAGGAGGATCGCGGAGGCCGCCGGGCGTACGAACAGCAGAAGTAGCGACACTGGAGGCCCCATTGCTTCAATGCGCGTTGGCACCGTGTGGGCACGCCGGAAAAAATAAGAAAGAAGAAGCACAGTAGGTAGGTAGGTAGAAAGGTGAAGAACAGTTAGGCTCGGACTGGACACCAACGCGGTATGGGTGGACGCTGGACAGATGATGACGACACGCACGAGCGACACACAGACACAAACAAGCTCACAAGACACACAGCCAGCTGGCTGCCACACACCCTGAGTTGGCGTACACATAACTCAAGGCCACATCCTCCCTGTCGCCCCCCCCAGCACTCCAAGGTGCCAAGAGAAACAAACAAGGGCACAACGACACAACAGACGACAGGAAGTGACATGTGAGGCTAGAGCAGCATGCTCCACCTCTAGCAATCTCTCCGGCCGGCGAGGCATGGGCGAGACCGTATGTGGGGTCTAGTGAGGTGTCTTTATAAGCACACCTTGTAAAAAGCAGTGAAAAAAGAAATCACAGCCGGCCCCGCACTCCCCCACTCTCAGCTGCGCGTTCTTCGAGCAGAGTGCATGCTCTTCCTCTCCCTCTTCGGTGCCCTGAACCCGCCTCCACTGCGGCTCGGGCCGCCCCAGCAGCTCCTCGTCATGACGGGTGGTGTGCGTGGTGGAGGGCGAGCACGGCGACGAGGCGGGAGCGACGGCCGTGGCAGAAGACCCGCCGTCCGTCCGCCTGCAAAATTGCTCACCGCCTCTCTCGCCCGAGCCGAGAGCGCGTCGGAGGTGCTGCGGCTGCACGCGGAGCACGGAAGCGCCTTCAACGAGATTCACTTGGCGACTTGCTGGTCGAGGCTTGCCAGCACCTCCCAAAAGGAAGGGCGGGCGTCGTCCGCCGGTGATCTCGCGCCGCTGCGCCAGCAGACGGTCGTCCTCGCAGACACGCTCGGGCCACGCGCGATCGCGAGCACTGCGCACGCGCTCGCGCGCCTCGGGCACTTTAGCGGTGCTGGCACAAGCGATGGCGACGAGTGGGACGCACTTTGGCGAGCTCTGGGCGTCGCGGCAGCGCTCCGCGTGACCGAGGAGGGCGGAGCCGCCTTTGGTCCGCAGGGGCTTTCCCTCACAGCCTGGGCCTTTGCCAAGGCGAGCGCGGGGCAGGCGCCGCCGCAGGCGCTGCTCGACGCGATCGCCGTCGCTGCCATCCCGCGCCTGCACGAGTTCAAGGCGCAGGAGCTCGCCAACCTGGCTTGGGCGTACGGCAAGAGCGAGCACGCCGCTCCTGCACTGCTCGACGCCATCGCCGCGGCCGCGTCCCCGCGCCTGGACGACTTCAAATCGCAGGAGCTCGCCAATCTGGCTTGGGCGTACGGCAAGAGCGAGCACGCCGCTCCTGCACTGCTCGACAAAATCGCCGCAGCCGCCACGCCGCGGCTCGGCGAGTTCCAGCCGCAGGGGCTCGCAAACACGGCGTGGGCGTTCGCGAAAGCGGGGCATCCGGCGCCAAGCCTCTTCGAGGCGATCACGTTGGCGGCGGTGACGCGGCTGGGCTCCTTCAAGCCGCAGGAGCTCGCCAACACGGCGTGGGCGTGCGCGACGGCCCAGTACGAGGCGCCGCCCTTCTACGAGCAGCTCGCCTACGCCTGCCGGGTCCGCATCTCCGACTTCAACGCGCAGGAGCTCGCCAACACGGCGTGGGCGTTTGCGAAGCTCGGCCACCCTGCGCCGCGACTGCTCTCCGCCGTCGCCGTCGCCGCCACGCGGCGGGCGGGCGAGCTCAAGCCGCAGGAGCTGGCGTCGACGGCATGGAGCTTCGCGGTGGTTGCTACGCCGGCTGCGTGTCGCCACGCCGGCGCTCCTCCTCACAGTCCCTCGCCCTCCTCTCAGGCGGCGAATCACTCTGCGCCGCTTCTCTTCGACGCCATCGCCCAGGCGGCCGTGCTTCGCGTGGACCAGTTTGGGCCCCGATCGATCGCGCTCACCGCGTGGGCCTTCTCGAGGGCGTCTCACGCCTCGCCCGCGCTGTTCGACGCCCTCGCCGCACGGGCGACGCCCTTGCTCGACGAGTTCGACGCGCAGGGCCTTGCCAACCTGGCTTGGTCCTTCGCGGCGGCCGGCCGCCCCGCCACCGCGCTCTTTGATGGCATCGCGGCCGCTGCGGGCCCGCGGCTCGCCGCGGGAGAGTACAAGCCGCAGGAGTTGGCTTCCACCGCGTGGGCGTTTGCGCAGGTCGGGAGGAATGGCACGGACGAGCTCGTGGCAGCGCTCAGTGTCGAGGCGGCTTGCCTCCAGCTGGACCGGATAGAGGTGCTGTGAACTGTGATATAGTGGCGTCCCAAGTCATTGCAGCACCCAAGACCTTTCGTCTTGTGTCTGCAGTACTTGCTACGTCGTACTCGTTCTTCTGTCTGCGATGTGTGATGTTCGATGATGGTTGACAGCAAAATTACCCTTACGCGGCGGCTTCACGCTTCATTCAGACGAGGACTGAGTTTATGAGCGGAGGCGGTGTGTTTTCACAGCTCTCGCTGGACGCGCTGCGGCCTCCCCTTGCGCCTCGAAACGTCTAGGAGGTTGGAGGATGAGCCGGAAACACAGTCAATACATCGCCTTTCGTCTACTAAGAAACGCGAGCATCCAAGCCGCCCCCCGCCGCAGCGCACGGTGTTGAGCGGCGGGCGCACCCAAAAAACCGCACCGCTGAACCAAGAGGGGAGCGCGCTCATTGGCACAAAGCGACGCGGGTGGGCCCTCTCGGCACCCTGCTGTGGGTCGGAGCCTGCCCAGCTAGTTTCGTTCCCTCCCTCAGTTGATGTAGTTGCTCAGCCATTTGAAGCCATCGCCGTAGCCCGCGCGCTTCACCACACTGCACATGAAGAGCTCCATCGGCCGAATCCCGTTCAGCGCAACCTGGCGCGAGGGCGGGCAGAGGGGCTGAGTCCCGACGATCGGCGATACGGCGCGCGAGCTGGATGCAGCGCGCCTTGCCCTTGCCGGTCGTCAGGTGGTGCAGGCCGAGCTCCACCCGCAGCTCGTCCTAATTGTGACATGAAGCCGCCTCCGCCGCCATACTTCCGCGCCGGCGGCGGCGCGTGCCAGGGTGCGGCGCGGCCGCGCGCACGGAGCGAGGGTCGCGGGTGTGTCGCTGAGGCGCGCGTGTCGGTGAGGCGCGCCTCGGACGCCGCGCGGCCGAGGTCAATCTTGTTCCCGAGGATGAGGAATGGCACGTCGTGGAGCTCCTCGCAGCTCAGCAGCTGGTCGAGCTCCTTCTTCGACTCGCAAAAGCGCTCTGCGTGATTGCACGGGCCACGGGCGGCGCGACTGTGAGCGGGAGGCGAGGGGAGGCGGAGCCACGGGCGCGCGCCGCACCGCGGTCGTGTGCGTCCACGAGGAAGACAATCGCATCCACTTGCGGAAAGTAATCCTTCCACACGCGCCTGCCAGCCGCGGGCGCGGTGGATCAAGGAGCGCGAGTGGGTGCAGGCGAGTGGGTGCAGGCGGGCGGGCGCAGGCGGCGCGGCGCGGCGCACCGAGCGATCTCGTGGCCTCCCAAGTCAAAGGTCCGGAACTTGATCTTGGCGATCGAGAGCTCCTCCGATGCTGCGGCGCGTGCGGAGGCTGGCTCAGTAAGGGGCGGCCGGGGGAGCGCGTGACGGCGCCGCGGCAGTGCGCACTCGGGTGCTGGGTGGGGTTGTGCTGCGAGAGGCGCTCGTCCTTGAGCATGTGCAGCAGCGTCGTCTTCCCAGCATTGTCCAACCCGAGGAAGAGGATCTTTGCGTTCTTGTGCGCGAGGCCTACACTCAGCAGCGCGCTGTCGGGTCTGTGCGCGCCCGGTCTGTGCCAGGAGAGGGCGCCGGCGCACCCAAGCTGTTGAGCATGTCCCACACCCAGTTGATGAGGAACATGGCGGCCGCAGCAGAGCCTGTGGCGCGGGGCAGCACGACGCGCTGAGCCTCTCTTGCTCTTGCTTGGGTGGCTGCGTGCAGGATGCGATCCGCCGCAGACGGCTCTTCCCCCTCGACCCGCGGCCGCGGAGGCCGAGCAGGCGCCGACCGGGCCATCTCGGGGTGACTGTGCGCAGCTTCTGCCGATGGGTGCGCGGCCTCGCGGATCTACGGTGCGGCGCGAGCCTTGCGATGCTGCGCGCCGAACAAACGTGAACTCTGTGCGCCTTAGCAAGAAAAGAATTTTTCGGCTCACGCCAACGTCCCCACCCCACCCCGCACGTGTCCCTTGTCAGGAGCAGGAGAGCCCCACCTGTCCCCCTGATCGTTCTTCCAAAATCCTGCTCGTGCAGGTGGGGACCCTGTCCTCGTCCCATCCCTCGTTTGGCGTGTCTGTTTTCTTTCTTTCTTTACCCCACCCCGCACGCAGCAGACAGACACACTAACTGGTTGGAACATGCCCAAACAAAAAGCGGGCAGATGCAATCTGTGAGGCAGTGTGGATTACGCAAAATTTTATACACACGCGCCGTCGAGCAGCCGCGCGAAAGCCAGCCCATGTGCCATGAGCATGACAGCCTGGGGGCACAGGGATCGGACCCACGTAAAAGGGTCCACAATGACCGAAGCTGACCCAGCAGCAAGCGTCGACGAGGAATGGGCTCACGTGTCAAACGCCGAGGGCTACGCATGGCTCCTACCAGTGGACGAAGACACGCATGACGACGTGCCTCCGTGTCCCGAAGGGGTTGGCACGGTGCTGCCGCCAGCGGACGACGATGCGCATGGCGTGCCACCGTGGATCCGAGAGGCCGAAGAGAGCCTGCAGTCGCCCAGCGTCTCCAGCAGCGACGAGCCAGGCGGCGGTGCCGAGCGGCGGTCTGTGGCAGATCCGCCAATCGACGCGCACAGAGAAGAGACATCGCCGCCATTGCAGTCCCAGCACGCGCACAAACCCAAGAGCAGACTTCCGGCATCGCTCGTGATTGTGGCCATGATGGCGCTCCTGGTGGGTGGGCTTGAGCTCCACATGCTCTCGCGCGTTTCCGCCGTCGGAGATGCCTGCAGCGGCCTCGTGGGCAGCGTGCGCTTGGAATGCGGCTCCGTGAGTGCATCTTCGTTCACGGAGGGAAAACAGACCCCGACGAGCTTGTGGCGTGCGATGATTCGCCAGGTCGCAGAGGCAAGGGGCGAGGCCGAGGAGGCGAGGAAGGCGCTGCACGAGAAGACGGCAAGCCCTGAGAGGTTGATGATGGGGCTGTGGCCGATGTCTGTGGAACGTCGACTTTCCCGCCTCTATAGGACGCCCTGAGGGCCGCTGAGTCCGGGCTCAAGCAGGAACTCTCGGACGCCCAGCGCCTCTTGCTGTCGAACGCGCAGCGACATCGGCAGGCGCTGGCCGAGGTCCAAGAACTGCGGATTGCGCTGAAGCAGGTTGAGGGCGAGCGGCTCGAGGTGTCGCTAAAGGCGGCCGCCGCGACACGCTCTGCGGAGGCGAGCGAACAAGCGCGGCGGGACGAACGCACAAGCTGGAAGTGGCGAATCGACGAGCAGGCGCCTGACAGCAGCATAGCAGTGGGTAGAATGGGCTGGCCTTCGTGAATGAGATTTCCCCCGCGCTCCTGCAGGCGCGCCTTCTCGAACGGCAGCGGGAGGAGCTCGAGGCGTCCCGCCAGCAAATTCGACTTATGCAGCGCAAGTCATCCACGCAGGACCCCAAGCACAAGACGAATGGCGGCGAGCCGCGAGACCGGCAATCGCGCGGGCGCCCGCGCCCCCGTGGCTTGGCAAGCGGCTGGTGGGAGGAGATGCTGTGGGATCTGCCGAGCGTCTCGTGCCCTTTCTCCAGGGTCTAGGCGGTCCTTTTCACTTTTCGGGGGGCGGCCCCCCCCCCCCCCCCCCAACCACCCCACCACCACCGCCGCCGCCGCCAGAGGTGTGATGGGTGCGGTCGGTTCGCCCTGCGTCAGCCCAAGCAGCGTGTGTGCTTGTGCTGCCCCGCTCTGTGGCTGTGTGTGTGAGGCAGCGCGGTCAGTGCGTTTTTTTTGTGCGTTTTGGTGCAGCTGGCTGCTCTCTTTTAGTGCTGCGCGGAGAGGGTGCCGTGTGATCCTTGTTTATCTCCGACTCTCTGTGTCGTAATATAAAAACAAACCATTGCATGCCGCCTCCCCAGAGACTAGAGCGTCGCATTCAGCACCGTGCCGCTGCTGCCACCGAGCAAGGCCTCCTTGGAGTAGCTGCGCAAGGAGTCAATCAACATCGACCGCTCCACGTGATCGAGCGCCCAGCAAGTGTACAACGACCCGCCTGAGTGGACATTGGAGGTGTTTTATGCGTAGGGTGGATGTGTGCACGCCAGGCGAGTGGTCTGGCTGCCCTTCATCTCGACAGTAAAGGACGCCGCGTCCTCGCCCCGAGCCGCCTCGCCTGGAGCAAAGCGAGTGGGTAAATGCGCGCGCCTTGCCAACCCTGTCGCCAGGCAGCCTCACCGCGTGACTGCGGCAGCTCCCGAATTGCCTTGAGCTCCACCAGCCTGAGGCGCGCCACCTAGGCAGAGGAGAGGAGCCGAGTCCAGGTGGTGGTAGATCGGCCGACGCTGCCCCGTGTGCGCGGAGCTGCACCTCGCGAAAGCCGTTGCGAACCAGGTTCGGTCGACAAATGAGGAGGACGGGGTCGCGGTCGCCAGTGAACAAGTACCAGCGACAGGTGCGCCGGCGCCGGAACCCGCCGCCGCGCATGTCGACCTACCGCATCGACACGGCCCGTCGCACACCACACGGAGCGAGCGCGTGCGCGACTCAGAGCGGTGCCGTCGCTACTCAGTGCAACTCACCTCGGACTCGAGTGCAAGGAAGCGCGATGCCGTGAGCAAGTCGGAAGAGGCTGTGTGCACCTCCCGCAGCAGGACCTCTGCCGCGCGCCGCTGCTGCGCCTGCCGGCGCACTTCCTCGTTGATCGAGCTCACGACCTTCTCGACCGCATCAAACGCGGTGGCAAACGGTGCGCCCAGCGCGGCACTGCCCTCGCACTTGGACGCCTCCCTGAAGAGGAGCGGGTACGCGCACCTGCAAGGGAAATGGCACGTCGTGGGACGGTGGAATTCTCGTTTCGCCACGGTTCAACCCTCGCTCCCGCTCCGCAGCTGCCGCTGGCAGGCTCCTGGCTTCCGATATGCTGCCGAACGCCAACAAGGAAAACCGCGCCGCCGCAGAAGCACCCTTCGGCTTTGTAGAGGCATGCATTCAAGCTGCCGAAGCGCAGGCGCAGAAGGCTACGCAGGCAAGGAAGGCGGCGCAAGCGCAGAATCGCACGCATCAGCCGCAGCTACTTGGCATCGCCGGTCCTGCCGAAGGAACGAAAATGTGGCTACCGCTCCGCGTCGGCGCCGGAGCGGCCAAGAAGGAGATCGTGCTCGGCCGCTCCTCGAATTGCGACGTTCGCACGCTCGACGACGATAAGATCTCCCGCCAGCACCTCAAGATCAAAACGATCGGCGACCAGCTCTGGCTCACCGATATCGACACCACATTCGGCACTCGACTCCGCGGGGAGCCCGTGCGCGGGTGGACGAGAGCAGGCCACGGAGACGAGCTGGCGCTCGGCGCGTCCCTATTCCAGCTGCTGCTCATGCCGGCGGAGGCGCAGACGCCGCAGGGGCTGCCGCCGACGCTGCCTGGAGCGCTCAAGAGGCAGGGCCGGTGCCCGCCACTGCCGCCGTCAGCGCCACGGGCGCCGATGAAGCACGGCAGCTCTGTCGCGACGGAGCAGCGCGAGAAGGTGGCGGCGGAGGCCAAGGCCGCAGCGGAGGCGCGCCAGAAAGCGGCGCTCGACGAGCAGGAGGATCCGGAGCTCCAGGAGGCGATAAGGCGGTCGATCAAGGAGCAGGTCGAGCTGGAGCTCCGGCGCAAGGCTGCCTTGACAAAGATGCGCAATGACGCGCGCGCGCAGACGGCAAAGGCGCTCGCGGCGAGCGAGGCTGTAGCCGAGGCTGTGGCCGACGCCAAGGCGGTCGAGGCGAAAGCGGCTGCCCAGGCCAAGGCGGCAGCCGATGCGGCGGCGGCCGATGCGGCGGCGGCCGAAGCGGCGGAGATGCTCTCGGCGGCGATGGCAGCGGAGGAGGCGGAGGAAGCGGAGGCCGAGGCTCCCGACATCAGCGACGTCTCGGCCCCATCCCTCGGTCTGCGCGACTGCGAGGAGATCGAGGTGCTCTGGCAGCTCGCCGAAGACGACGGCCGCCCGCGCGACGTCTGGTGGCGGGCTCGCCTGCGCCTGCCCGGCTGCTGCGCCGCACGCTCTCTCGGCACGGAGGCGGCGGCGACGAGATCGGACGGCGGCGGCGCGGTGCTCGAGTACGCTGCCATGCACGGCTTCGAGGCGGAGACGCTGAGCGTGCGATTCCTTGATGTGTCGGCCGCTTTCCATGTCAGCGCGCACGATGGCTGGCTCCGCCACGCGGGCAGTAAGATCCCGTGGCGCCGTGCCCCACCGCCCGTCGCGCCGCCGCCCGCCGCCTCACCGCCTGCCCCTGCCTCGTCGCATGCACTGCCGCCCGCCGCCGCCTCCTCGTCGCATGCGCCCGCCCCGGCCGCCTCGTCGCAGCTACCACCAGCCCTGCCCGGCATGTGCCGCGCGGTCAAGCAGAATGGCGGCTTGTGCTCCAATAAGATCAACCCTGCCGCGCCGCGCGCCCCGTGCTGCAACAGCTCGTGGCGGGAACACACTTGCGGCGTGCACAAGTCCTACAAGGGCGAGCTCCGACCGCCGCCGCTCAGCGCGGCAACGCCGCCGCCGCCGCCACCTTCGCCACCGCCGCCGCCGCCGCAGCAGCAGCAGCAGCCTTCGACGGACGCGGCTATGGCGCAGCAGGCGGCGGAGGCCAAGGCGCGACTGGCCGAGGAGCGCGCGCGCAAGAAGAGCCTTGAGATGCGCGACTTGCGCGAGAGGATGGCGGCGCTCGAGCGCGACAAGGCGGCGGCGGAGCAGGCCGCGGCCGCGGCGGAGCAGGCGGCGGCCGCGGAGAAGGCGGCGATGGCCATCACCGATCCTAGCGCGTGGACGCCGGTGGCGGGAGACGTCGCCATGGTGCGCGTGCCGGCGTCTTCGGACGAGCACGACCACGTGGAGTCCGATTTCCGGCGCTCGATCAGCGCCTTCTTTCTGCAGAGCCGCTACCGGTCGGGTCAGCAGCCGCAGGTGCTCGTGGAGGCGGTGCACCGCGTGCAGAACCGGCCGCAGTGGCGGCGGTACTGCCTGCTGCGCGACGAGCTCCGCCTGCGCGAGCGCGCGCCCGACGACGCGGCGGCCATGCGCCGCTTCGAGCGCGAGCGGCTCTACCACGGCACCGACGAGGCGACGGCCGACAAGATCGCGCACAACAACTTCAATCGCTCGTTCTGCGGGAAGAATGCGACGCGGCTGGGCCACGGCTCGTACTTTGCGCTGCACGCGGGCTACTCGCTCAGGTACGCGCCGCCCGACGGGAGAGGCGTGCGGCGCATCTACGCGTGCCGCGTGCTCAATGGCGAGTACTGCCGCGGCCAACAGGACATGCGCGAGCCGCCGCCGCGCCCGGGCCGCGGCCACTTGCCGTACGACTCGACGGTAGACGACACGGCGCGCCCAGAGATCTACGTCACGTACAAGGACTCGCAGGCCTATCCGGAGTACCTCATCTCGTTCCGGCTGGACAAGTGAGAAGTTGTCAATGCCGGTGCGCGCTCCCGAAGCTCAAGGCGAGGGCCATCTACAAGGCGCTGCATGCTACAGACGACGAGAACATGCTGCCCGGGCGACCTGAGAGGATGTCTGCGCCGCGCCTCAAGATTGGCGCGAGATTGTGAGAGAAGAGGGCTCCCTGCGCGTAGCCTGCCGGAAACGCTCGTACGAAGGTCGTACAGTGCTCTCTGTATTGTACTGTCGGTGTGTGTGTTCTCTGCTCTCGGTTAGGCGTGAGCGGGGTGTCGCGCCCGCGATTGAGAGCGGGCGCACTTGGAGCACTGGGAGAGTGCAACTGATATTGGGGTTCTGTTTTTCTTCTTTCTGACGGCATGAGCGTTGAGCGGCGCCATCTGCCCAACTCTGCCGGCCGAGCTGGCGGTGGGCGACCTGGCCGCGCTGCTGGCCCTCCTCTCCGGGCGTCGGACGCGACGGGAGGGCGCAGACCAACCCTACTTACCTAGCCTACTACCTACCCCAAGGCATTATCCATCGCGTCCGAGTCCCCGTTGTTCATGCTGATATAGATTGTTATTGAGATTGGTCCTAAAATCGACTCCTGGGTTGGCTGGCCCCGAGAGCTGCGTCTCGAGCTCCCGGTGACGTTGCCAGACGACCCCGAGCGTCGGCGCCCAAATAAGAGGCCCATCGCGCCGGTTGCCGGGGAAGTCGGATTCCTGTGAGTCTCAAAAAGGCCCATCGACGAGGTTGGGGTCGTTGCCCGGTAGGAGGGTGGCGGCCGTAGCTGCCCCGGGCTCGGTGGGGTTCGCCCCCCTTTGCAGGGATGCAAGGCCAGCTGCTCTGCAGTCACGGCTCGTGCCGTATGTGACGGGCTCATGTGGCTGTCGCGTGGCGATTAGGTCCGCTCACGCTGCCTCCGTCTGGTTGTCGCGTGGCGATTAGGTCCGCTCCGGCGTGTCTCGTCGCGTGGCGATTAGGTCCACTCACGTCGTCTCGTCGCGTGGCGAAACCGATTCGGTCCGCTCCGGCGTGTCTCGTCGCGTGGCGATTAGGTCCGCTCACGTCGTCTCGTCGCGTGGCGAAACCGGTCCGGTCCGCTCCGGCGTGTCTCGTTGCGTGGCGATTAGGTCCGCTCACGCTGCTCGCCGCCCGTGGCGATTAGGTCCGCTCACGGCGTCGCGTGGCGACTAGGTCCGCTCACAAGGCGAGGTGGCATGAAGGTCGCTGCGAGAATTGGTGAGAAACTGCGAAGAGAGATAGGAAGTGGTAGACGCCCGAGGGTGGGCGACGGCTAGCACCACACTTCTCCCCTAAAATCCCTGTGTGGTGGCGGCGTGCCGTCCTCCCATCCCTCCCTTGGTGTGTGTGTGAGTGTGTCTGCCTGACTCAGGCACTAATTCTGCCGATGCGTGATTGTGTGTGGGCTGCTCCGAGGGGGCCCTGCGCGATCCGATGGGTAGGGAGTCTGTGCCCGGGCGGTGTCCGGTGTGGAGTCTCTCTCTGATCCCACCTGTGATGTTGGGTGTGAGGTTGTGGCGGCTTCGATCCCAAGGGGGGGAGCTGATCCCACTCAATAACCAACTCTCAGGGGCAGTAGGTGGGCGAGCCTCGAGCGCGCTCATCTCGATCGTCAAGGCGTCGCTACGCGCGGTCTTCCGCGGGGGGAGCTTCGTCGACGGGTGCGGGATCGCGGCGCAGTCAGTGCCGTGGCGATGCCTCCGGCTGTTTGCGGCGGGCGGCTTGCTGCTCGGGGCGATGGCAAAAAACTCGTCTCGCCGCACACCAAGGGCTTATGCTCTGGCGAGATGTGAGGCGCATGCGCCCAGGAGGGGAGGGAGCATGCGTAACGACGCTGCTAGAGATGCGTTTCGGGGCCCAGAGATAAAACTTCTGATGCCATGCATGACCTAGTAGTGTCCCCAGCTATGGGCGTGTCCACGTTGGAGCCAGGTGTGGTGTGGGCGCGAGAATAGCTCCGCCGTTAATGGAGGCAACCGATGCGAGTCGACTGGTGTGTGTCGTCGTGGTTTCGTATCAAGAATACTCACTCACTCACCCTCCCTTGGGTTGTCTGTTTTCTTTCTTTCTTTACTAGGCCCGGGACTGGCGCGCACTGGCACTAACACAGGTACACCAGAAATACACGTGTTTGTTTTACAATCAACCCTTTCTTCCTGGCACAACACTGCGAGGGAGTTTCTTTAAGATTCTCCCTCGCACGACACTAGGCACAGGACTGGCGCGCACTCACTGGCACTCACACAGGTACAAGAAAGAGCCCCGGGAGCCGCCTAAGAGAGAGATGTTTGCCGCCTAAGCGACTCCTGCGAGGACGGTGAGCTTAGCTCCGTGCACTCGACCCGGCTCGTAAATTTCTTCCTCGAGGGAACGCAATCGTAAAACTCTCCTGGCCTGCTGATCTTCTCCTCGCTACCCAACGCGACCATCGTCGAGAAACCCGACTACTCCGGCCAGACTGCCGCACCGGGCCTGAAAATGGAGGACGCGATTCTCGCCGAGGCAGCCACCGCGGCTTCGCTTCTCTGCACAATTTTGTCGATTGCAGTGACATGGCGCTGGTGCCTCAGAATGACCGCAGTGGGTGGAACGGATGCTCCAGCCGAAGACATTCACTTGGCCGCAGTGGACGGAGTGGATGCTGTCCACTTAGCCGTGGATCCGCCGCTGCCCATTCACTTGGCCGCAGTGGACGGACCGGATGCTCCAGCCGAAGTTCACTTAGTGGATCCGCCGCTGCCACTGCCGGTGCCGGTGGAGCCAACAACTCAGCAGGTGGAGCCGATCACGGCCCGGCCCGACTGGCTTCGGTGGTCCACGGGTCGACTCGTAGCCTGGGTCGCGGCTCACCGCGGCATCGATTCCGACTGGCGACACATGCACGATGCGGCCAAGGCGGGACGGGTCGAGGTCGTGTCGCAGCTGTGCCACGGGCTGCGCATCTCGGTGCTGCTCAAGAACAAGCGCGGCCGCAACATCTTGCATGCCGCCATTAGCCACAAGCGCAACGTCTTCGTTTGCTGGCTCGCGGGCGGCCATGCATCGCAGGCTTTCCCCAAGCCACCCGCCTACGAGTGCGTGATGGCTCTCTTTACGGAGCCGGATGCGGCCGGGCAGAAGCCGTTCCTCGCGGCGGCGACCAGACAGGACGCAACGATCGTGCACGCAATGACTCACGTCCTCGGTCAAGAGTTTCGCCGCCTGGGCCCGCCATCAACCGACCGGGCCGAATTCCTAGAGGTGATGGCCTTCTTCGAGGCGGGCAGCTCGATGCACATCTCCCTCTTGGGCCAGCTGCGCGCCTACGACGTATCCCTGGCCCACTCCGGATGCTACACTGGCTACACTCCGGATGCTATCGTCTCTACCTTTGAGAGCTCGGCGTGGTGGCCGCCCAACCTTGAGTTGCAGCCGTGGCGCTCTGACGAGGCGCGGCACTTGTACTGCTATCTCCAAATGGCCGTGAGCCGGCGCCAGCCCAGCCTTGTGGCGTGGTTCCTTGACGTGCTGCGCGTAAGCCCGAGCCCGCCCTCGGGCATGCTCTGGCAGGGCTGGCATCTCGGCGATTACGCCCTCGTCCGGCGCGTTGCAGACGAGGATGAGCTGAAGCGAACCGAGCCGGAAAGAGACGCCAGGGCGGTGGAGTGCGAATGGGCCCGCGAGGGTCGCGCCACTTTTCTCAGAGACCGCGACTGCGTGATGGACAAGTGGGATGGTCTCTCTTCCGCCTCGCTAGCCGAGCAGGTGGACGCCTATCTAGGCCTTATGCGAACGATTGAGAGGCGGTGAGGGCGACAGCGACGGCGGCGGCGGCGAGGGCGGCGGAGGGGCCGGCGGCGGCGGTGCCGGAGGCGGCGGCGTGGGAGGCGGTGAGGGCGACAGCGAAGGCGGCGGCGGCGAGGGCGGCGGAGGGGCCGGCGGCGGCGGTGCCGGAGGCGGCGGCGCGGGAGGCGGCGAGGGCGACAGCGACGGCGGCGGCGGCGTGGGCGGCGGAGGGGCCGGCGGCGGCGGTGCCGGAGGCGGCGGCGTGGGAGGCGGCGAGGGCGACAGCGACGGCGGCGGCGGCGTGGGCGGCGGAGGGGCCGGCAGCGGCGGTGCCGGAGGCGGCGGCGTGGAGGCGGC